ACCCTTGCATTAAGTTCACGCAAGGGTGTGCGCCGTTACATGACCGAGAAAGTCTTTTTCAGTAAATCTCTTCTTTGCTTGTGAACGTGACTGGGCCGGTAATACTAGGGGGTGATTGGAATTGTACGCTTGCATCCAGCCTGGACCGGTCACACCATGCAACGCAGGGTAAACGTCATGGCTATCCTAATCTTCGATGTATGCTGCGGAACCAGGAGTTGGTCGATGCACTTGAGGATGAGATGGAACTGGCGGACGCAGAGCGCAGTCACGTTGTTTTTTACTCAAAGACTCAGACCCACATCTACACTTTGGCTGGAGGAGCCCAGGCGAGATCGCATCTCGATCGCTGGTACTTAAGAGCTCGGACTGCCGATTGGATACGCAACGTCAGCACGGCAGTCCCAGGACCTAAGTCGGACCACAATGGAGTTACATTACGGTTGGCAGAGCCCTTATAAGCTGTCCAGCACCGCAAGGCTCGGCGTATCTACCCCGTCGTAGCGGCGGTGACTGCAACAGCTTATACAATCATCACGCACGCATTTACTGAGGCTACCCAACAGCTAGCCGATGTGTAGTGCCTCCCTCGTGGCGATAAAGCGACAGCACAGCACCTTGCACGATGGTGGGATGCGTGAAAAGTGCAACTTCGAACATCACTACTGAGTGCCGTGCGGAGGGTGCGCCAACAGATGACGCAGAGTTACCGCCACCGCCTGTGGCGCCTTTAAGTGCGTATACATTCCACAAACACTGGTCAAATGTAAGAGAATGAGAAACTTAAGGCGTTTTGTGATAAAGTGGCTGAGTGTCGGCGGCGTTGTCAGCGGAAGAAGCTCGAGCAGCTTTTCCACCACTTCTATTATCCAGGCTGAATAACTTGTCGATATATTGCACGGGTGTCCACGAAGTTTCGAGATAACACTGTCATCACACTAGGAGGTGAAGCATCTCGCGGCCCTAACAGATCGAGGGATTAGCTGATGACATGGATGACGGGTGGGCTGAGCTGATCCAACGATGCACTTTTAACGTTCAGCGTACTAAAGCTTTTCTAGCTCGCGGACCCCATCCTACTATTTTACAAGATGCTGCAGTGATCGATGATATTGACGCTGAGGATGTTTCCGCTGCTATAAAAAGTGTAAGCATGGGAAGGCTGCTGTGCCGGAAGAAATAAGGCAACTCCTTTTACAAGGACCATTCGGACAAACTTGCCTCTATCCTGGCAGCATTGAATAATCAATAAATTACGTGTGGGTTGACGCCTGCTTCTTTCAGAGATTCCAACATTCACTTTCTTAAGAAAGTTTAACGTCTTTAAGCCCTCTATATCACAGACCTATTGTAACGGAGCACGCTCTGTTGAAGATTACGGTTCGCTCACTGGAGATGTTATCACGGGATGGTGTTTTTGGAACTGACATTTACATATACCTGCGCACTTGGCTATTCCTAGTGCACATTGGTTGCTTTCGTAAGAAGATCTGCAGCATTTTTAGCCGTCTTGAACTTGTAAAGTATAATCTTTCTCTTCTTCACTTGCTCGCGCACATAGTGCCAGCGCAATTCAATGTGTCGTGTCCGACGACTGAATGTCGGATCCATCGCCAGTGTCATCGCGCTCAAGTTGTCGACGCCGAGCTTCACTGCGATGCCCTGCTTCATCACTCTTAATGTTTCTTCAATGACGTTTCGAAGAGACGCTGCTTCCGTAGCTGCTTCACACGATGCTATGTACTCCGCTTCTACTGTGCTCAGTGCAACTACGATTTGAAGCCGTGATAGCCATGACACCGCACCGCCCGCAATAGTTGTTACGACTCCAGTAACACTGCGTCTCGAATCTGGATCACCGCCCCAATCACTGTCACTATATCCTTCGACATCAATTTGACTTTCACTTCCATCTTGGCGCTTGTAGCTTAATCGGTACGCCAACGTACTTGACAAATAGCGAAATACTCGCTTCACTGCTCCAACATGCTTGCTACTCGGATTACTGACAAACCGGCTGAGCAACCCAATTGCAAACGCGCTGTCTGGTCGCGTTGACTTTACCAAGTACATGAGCGCCCCTACTGCCTCACGGTACGGATAAGAAACCATTTCAGTACTTGTCTCTGGTTCTTCATGCACAAGTCGCGTGGTGCGATCCACTGGGTTGCCGACTTTGCGAGCTTCTGTGAATCCGAACCGCTCGAGAATTTCACGTGTATACTGAGTCTGCTGCAAGCAGTAGCTGGAGTCACTGCGATCAATCTCGACTCCAAGATACTGTGTTGCTCGCCCGTGATCTTTAATGCCATACTGCTTATTTAGCAACTTGAACAGATCATCCTTCTGCTCTGATTTTGTTGCTGTGAGTACATCGTCGACGTATACCAGCGTTAGACAGACTTCTCCATTTTGTCAACGTACGTATAAGGACGGCTCTGTTTGTCCATGTTCAAATCTTGTTCGTTTAGAAAGTAATCAAATTCCGTGTTCCACGCTCGTCCAGCTTGACGCAATCCAAATAGCGCTTTCCTCACTATATACGCTTTGCTGCTATCATTCACGTGACCTTGAATTCGATTTACGTACTCTGGAATTTGAAAGTCCGCATTGAGATAGGATGTGTTTACGTCACAACTGTAGATTTCCAGGTTTAATATCGCCGACAATGCGACAAACAAGCGAAACGACGCCATGCAAGCGACCGGTGCATACGTGTCGACAAAATTAACAACTGCGCGTTGCCTGTCACCGCGCGCAACGAGTCGAGCTTTAAATCGAATCACTCTCTCGTGCTCGTCGGTATTCACCGCATAGACTTAAATCGTAGTCAACATGTTGGTAGACGGTGGAACGTCATCTGCGTCAATTTCTTCGAGAACTCCTTCATCATTCAGTGCCTCGAGCTGCAGTAATTCCGCGTCCCGCCACTTGCTTGCGTACTCAGTATTCATTGCTTCCGCATGGGTCTTTGGGATCTTGAATTCGTTTTTGTGTATAGCTCTATCCCCATCACCAGATGCACATATTGTTGATTGGACAATGAAGCCATTAAATCGCGATGGCAATCGACGCTGAATCGTCTGCCGCAAACCCTCACGTCGCTTCTTGACTTCCATGATTCCCGTGTTACTGCCTGTCGATGACTGCTGTGTACGCTTGCGCTTTCCTGCCTCAACTCGATCTGCGAGTCTTGCCGCGCTGCATGCGGTCGTCATATCATTATCTCCCGTATGTTCGTCTAAGTCTATTGATCCCTGTTCTCCATCGACCGATTTAATGCGTGCACATTCACCTGCGCTCGAATCTTGATGACTCTCTTCGACTATCTCACTGACATGACTCATGTCTGATGTCGCTGCTGATTCTGGGCCTATTGTGCCTGGTTGACATCCACCGACAAATTCACCAACACCTGACGCAGAATCCGTGTCACGTACAACATCGCTGTCACTCAAGCCGTTGAACATACTGGTCACGTCTTCGTTTTAACAAACACCGCTGTCGCCCTCGTCGATGGTTACATCACGTACGTCATCGCTGTCACATACGTCGTAGCACATATTGGTCACGTCTTCGTCTGCATCGACACCGCTGTCGCCCTCGTCGATGGGTACATCGCAAAAATCCACGGTGAAGGTTGCAATATATGCCTTGATATGTCGGTCGCGGTAGACAACGTTTTTGGTTTTTTTTGCGTTACGGTGCAGCTTGTGACGACGTGCGTTAGCTTTGACGTGCACATACTACAGCGAGCCAAAAGTTCGAAGATGTGGATGTCTGGTCGCATTCCAAACATAATTTCGTACGGTGTGCTTGCGCATCCACGAGAAAATATGCGGTTTTAAATATAGACAGCGTATTGAAACGTATCCGTCCAAAATATTTTAGACATGCCCGAGTGTTGCAACATTGTTCGCTTCATCTCCATTAATGTCCTGTGAAGCCGTCTAAATGGGTTCTGCTGCGAAATGGCTGGTCCAACTTGTACATGTTCTATGCCTCGAATATTTAACCATTGCTTGAATTCGGAACTCGCGAACATACCACCTTTGTCCGTAAGTAGTTGTCGTACCGGATATACAGCCCTTGTATCGCCGATGTTTTCGCTTGTACGACGACGAGCTTGTCGTTCAGCCCAAGCAAAGTACCGCTTCAAAGCAGCGGCCGCTGCACTTCCTGCTTTCGTGCGCAGCATGTAGGTCGTAACAAAATTGCTGAATGCATCCATGATGACCAAAATTGCTCCAACTCTTGTGCCGCAAGAGATGCCCGGCACTAGCAATCTGCATAAACAAGTTGATTTGGCATGACAATTTTGCGGTCCAGCGACTTCCTGAATAACTTTCGTACTTGCTTTGCCAAGTGACATGTCTCACAGTCATGTACATCTCGTCCTGAGAGCATCATACCATCGACAAGCTTCCTATCTACCATCAGCCTGATGTACTGTGGGCACACATGACCCAAGCGCTTATCCCACAACTGCAGATCAGCGACACCATCTTGAGCTGTAAAGTTTATCACGCGCGTCTCTACACTTTTGCCAACCTTGTCTCTAGATGAGATTTTTCCCTCGAACACCCAAACTGCTCCGACTTTGTCTTCTTGTGCCACTGCTTCGTTGCTCTTTGTCATAGTAAATCGGTGCGTGTTCGAGTCCCACTCGAATCCATCGTCGATTGCACGTCCCATCGACAAAAGCGGGTTGATCGCACCAGGAACGAAGAGCACGTCGTCGATCACAGTATGGACTGTCTTTTTTTTCGACAAGTGTGTTGGAAGTTCAAGGTGACAGGAGTTGAAGATGCGATTAGCGCCAGTAGTTATTTCCTGTGTGCATAGTAAGAGGAAGTAGTTAGTGCTTGCAACCAACCAAATTTGTAGTGGTTGGAGCAGAGAGAGTTAGAAGGAAGAGCAGCTCTAGCAGACAAATAAGTCATATTAATTCAGAATCTTATCATCCTCTTCCTTAAAAAGCAAAACATTGCCAACAGGTTATGAGCCCAACAGCTGAGACAACGGACACGAAGCCTACACCGGCACCAGCAGGTCACGCAAGGGCCTCGCCGGCCCGTGGTGCTTCGCCGGCGCGCGTTGCCTCGCCCGCACGTGCTGCCGCAACCGTTGAATACTCGCCAGCTCGCGAAAGGAGCTCGGCAGCAGACGAAAAGATTCTCGCGGCCCTCGCCGCTCTGACCGACCGCATGGAGAAGATGGAGTCTACCCAGCGCGATCGTGAAGATCAAGAGAGAATGATGGGTGCTGTAGAGAGCGGGATGTTTTCATCAGCGTTTGGTGCTAACGCGCGGGGAAGACCGATGACCATCGACGCACTTACGGACTCGCCTGAGCACAAGCCGGTCGCACGGCCACCGCGCGCACATGAGCCCGAGATTGAAGAGTCCATGTTTGCGTCTTTCGCATCGGCACGGGCGCATGCTCCGACTCCCGGCGCATTTCCGCGTCCAGCAGATGGACCAGCACCATCGGGACAAGCTCCTAATGCAGCAGCATTCTATGCGACACCGAATGCGAGTCAGCGCAAGCTGTCGATTCGGAAATTTGACGGGACTGAACTCTATAAGGGACTAGGCTCTGGGTTCCTCGACTGGGGGCGCACGTTTTTGCGCGCTGTCAACCTGGCTGAGTCCTCGTGCGGTTTCACCTGGAGTGAGGACGTCAAGGTTGACCTGCTTGGTCACTTCCTCAGCGGAACGGCTGAGCGTTACTACCACAAACAGGTAGACACGTGGTGGAACCAGCATCCGACGCTGGACTATGTTATGTGCCAGCTACTTGCAACATTCAAGACGTCTATTACGGCTAGCCAGGCGATGAAACTGTTCATGCAAAAGAAAGATTCTAAGCGCACATGGGCAGAGCACTACCTATACATGGTTCTTTAAGCGACGCACGTGGTGGTGCGGACTCACTCGTCCTAGATAACGTCGTGGACCACGCGTCGCCCGAGCTTATGAACGTAATGCGGGCCAAGTACGACCCGACGCGTGTCGACTATCTTCGACATGCAGAAGAGCTGGCGCATTTTGCCCAGTCAATCGAGCTTGGAAGCGGGGCAATTGGACGTGAAGTCGTCGCTGCTCATGTCGAACCAAAGCGTAAGGACACGCGCACCTGCTATGCATGCGGCAAGCTCGGTCACGTGCAAGCTTACTGTCGCTATAAGTGCAAAATACGAAGTGGAAGGCCGAAAGAGGACAAGACAGGTGGAGGTATGGTGCTCGCACTGAGCGAAAAGAACAAGAATGAAGGAGCGAAGAAACTAAAGCGTGGCAAAAAGAGCAAGCGTGAGATGATACTTGCGGTGAGCGAGTCGGATGACTACGATGATGGTGACTGGATTCTTGACAGCGGCGCCAGTCGACATCTAGTGAATGACGAGAAGTTGCTATTCGATTCTGCCATATGCAGCGAAGAGATCGCGATGGCTGATGGAAAGACATTGAAAATGACGAGAGTTGGGAGCGTGCGCCTTAAGGTGGTGGCTCGTGGTATGGAGAGCACAGTGGTGCTTACAGATGTTTACCTGGCGCGGAGATTGTCAAAGAACATCGTTTCGTATGGCAAGCTGGAAAGAAAAGGCTTTGCTCTTGTCTACGATTTAAAGGGGCGTGCACTTGAATGGCGCAGCGACGGCTCTGTCGCGTTTGACGTTGAGATGGGAAGAAACGTTTTATACGTTTAAATATCAGCGAAGAAGGGGCGACAGGACACAAGTGATACAATCATGGCCGCGCTCGAATCAAGTGCGAGCGCAGATGTTACGAGCGATGTGCAAGAAGGGACGCTTTTACATTTCCATCAGCGTTTTGGGCATCTTGAATTCGACACTATTGAGCGCATGGCTCGAAACCCAGCCTCGGAAATAAGGCTGACGAGCAGCAAGCGCATGGCGTGCGTTTCGTGCATGGAGGGTAAACAGAAGCGAAACTCCCAAAACCAGACGGACAGTGGTTTTAACGCGCCCATTGACAGAGTCGGTGGAGTCATCTGTTCGGATTTGAAAGGTCCGATGACGCCACGGGATAGGCTTGGAAACCGTTATTTGGTTAATTTCGTCGATCACAAGTCGAATTACTGCCGGATATTTCTCGCAAGAACAAAGGATGTGGCGGCTAAACAGTTTGAGGCTTTCCTCGTTTTCTTTGAAAAGCGTTTCAACTGCCGAATCCACGTGCTAAGGACAGACGGTGGTGGAGAATACACTAACATAGACCTCTTTTGTAAAAGGACCGGGGTGACAAGGCAAGTGTCGGAAGCTGGAAACCAAGCTTCTAATGGCAAGGCGAAACGGATGCACAGGACGGTGCTTAATTTGGCACGAAGCATGATGTTTGCGTGCGGTCTAACATTTCATTTTTGGGGAGATGCGGTTCAGTACGCCTCGTATATACCGAATCGCAGCCCTACGCGCGCAAACGCTAAGAGAGCGTCTCCACTTAAGTTGTTGACGGAAAAGGTGCCGGATCTGCGCAAGATCGTTGTTTTTGGCCCCACGTGTAGCGTGTATCGCGACCCAAGCAAAAATTCACTACAGCAGCGCGCACAACTTGCCACGATCGTGGGGGTAAGTGAAGAAACCAAGGGCTACAAGGTTTATCTACGCAAGAAGAACAAGGTGATCGTGACTCAGCACGTCAAGAACATCGACACTCTGTCTGAAGCACAGAACGCGCAGCTGCAGCAAGAGATGGTGGAGCAGGATAAGGATGTGACGACACCCGCCCCAAGACAAGCGAAAGTAAGCAACACAAGTGCTGCCAATGTGGGTACACGAAAGAAAAGCACGAAGGAGTGGACGCGGTCTGCTCATGGTACGCGCGGCGCATCGAAGCGTGCGCAGGCGGTAGCACTCCAGAAGGAGTCGCAGTCAAGCGGCGGAGTCGTAAATGCTATTTTTGACTAAGATCCGACCAATCACAGTGAAGCTATGCGAAGTGCGAATCGCGATGGATGGGTAAAGGCTATGGAAGAAGAAGTCATAGCACTTCTGAATAATAAAGTCTGGCAAGTAGTCAAGCGCGCTCCTGGCTTAAACGCCTTGCATACCAAGTGGGTATTCAAGACCACGACAGACGCACAAGGCAAGGTCGAGCGACTGAAGGCTCTCCTTGTTGCTTGCGGCAATGAACAGGTCCTAGGTGTCGACTACAGTCTCACGTTCGCCGCCGTGATGGACCTGTCAACAGTGAAGGTCATATTGGCGCTTGCGGCCATATGAAGAGTGCCTGCAAAGCACGGCCACATCCCCAATGCATATGTCAAGGCGGACAAGGAGGAGCATCTACAGATATATCTACATGTGCCACAAGGAATGACGATATCTGCAAAGATCATGCGTGAACAAGACGCGGAAGGTGAAAAGGATTTGGTACTGGAACTACGGAAGAGCCTATATGGGCTTAAGCAGGCCAATCGACTATGGAGTCAGCTGCTGCACAAGCGTCTCGTCGAGGCAGGTTTTATGCGCTGTGAAAGCGATATGTTTTTCTATTGGAAAAAGGAAGACGAAGATCTCGTGGTTGTGGGCGTTTATGTGGACGGCCTTTTGACGACGGGAACAAGTGTGGAAGCAGTCGAGCGATTTTTCGAAAGTCTGTCGTCAATATCGATCAAGGATCTGGGACGCGTAAGTAAATTTTTGGGTATGCGGGTTAATTTGGATGATACAGGCAAATATACACTGGACCAAGAGGAGGCGATCGCTGATCTACTTCGGACCAATGGGCTGGCAGAAGCAAATCCGACGCGCGCGCCTATTGGCAACGACTGTTACGACGTACCACCGGACGACGTGGAGCTGCTTGGATCTACAAGCGCAGGCACTGGCCCAACGGTCCGCAGTTTTCAGTCGCTTGTTGGGGGTTTGCTGTGGATTGCGCGTTGCACACGGCCGGACATCGCGTTCGCTGTGCACAAGGCTACAAGACAGACTCATGCACCGCGAGTGATTGACTGGAAGCTCGCTAAAAGGATTGCTCGGTACCTAAAGGGTACCGCAAGCTTGAAAATAACGATGTCGCCAGGTCAAGAACAATATCAGGGATTGGAGCTGGAAGTGTTTAGCGACGCTGAATTTGCTGGAGACAAGGGCGAAAGGAAGTCGATGACAGGTGGCGTGCTGCGGCTAAACGGTATGACGGTGAGTTGGGGAGCTCGAAAACAAGGTGGAGTTTCCCTTTCGACGATGGAAGCTGAATTTGTCGCTGCCTCGGAGATGGCGCGTGACCTGCTCGGGCTGCGAGAGCTGCTTAGCGAGATCGGCATGTCACCAGCACTGCCAATGAAGCTCTACGTGGACAATCAAGCGGCTATAAGTCAGATTTATGGCGAAGCATCGTCGATGAAGGCCAAACACATCGACGTACGGTTCAAGTTTCTATGCGATTTCTCGCGCCGCGGTGTGATCGCTGCGCACTATTTGAGGTCTGAAGTGATGCTTGCGGACTTGATGACGAAGGCCCACGATGCGGAGAAACTTACAAGGCTTCGTGTTCTGATGCGCATCGAGTAGACGGACTAAAACGTATGAGGACTTTTAAGGGAAGTCAAGGACGTTGAAGGAAGAGAAGGAAGGTTCGGAAACAAACGAAAGGAGAACTCGAGGAGGAGTGTTGGAAGTTCAAGGTGACAGGAGTTGAAGATGCGATTAGCGCCAGTGGTTATTTCCTGTGTGCATAGTAAGAGGAAGTAGTTAGTGCTTGCAACCAACCAAATTTGTAGTGGTTGGAGCAGAGAGAGTTAGAAGGAAGAGCAGCTCTAGCAGATAATAAGTCATGTTAATTCAGAATTTTATCATCCTCTTCCTTAAGAAGCAAAACATTGCCAACAAAGTGTCTCAAGAACGATCGTTCCAACACCAACTGGTTGTTCCTGGAAGCTTGGTGCAACGCCACGCACAATGGTTCGTCGATCGAAAGCTCCCTATATCGAATATAGTATTATTTGTCACCGACCACATGAGTGTTTGATGCAGTGTCGATGTACCACTCCTGCATCTCTAACGAATTGGTCTCTTTCTGTGTTTCAACAATGCATTCGACATCGTCCACATGCCCCATTTCACTGGTTCCTACGTCTTGATCCTCACCAAAGATACCAAGCACGTCACGTCGCGTGAAGTTTGTCTTCACGTTGCGTTTACCTTCATCACGATCGCCGCCTTTATCTCTGGCTGGTGTCGATGCATCGTAATATTTTGCACGATGAGTACAATCTCTCTTCAAATGCTCGTAACTGCTGCACGTGTAGCACTTCTTCTGTTTTTCCTTCGCTCTATACAGCCCTTTCGCTCTGTTAATAGCGTTAAACCCTTTGCTATTACCACCATAAACGCCTTTCTTATGTTCACGCTGATTTTCCACGTCCCTGCGCCTTGTGCTCATGAGAGCGCCAATGCCAAATCCGCTCTTGGCTTCTTCTTGCAGAGCAGCAGCTGTTCGAATCAGCTCTCGAATTTTCACCGGTGTATAGATCGCCGCGTCACTCGCAAACCATTCTGTTTGTCGCAGTTGGTTGAATTGAGTCGTTGTCGGCAAACTAGATAACAAAGCTTCACGCATATCGAGTTCGTTCACGGTGTATTGTAGATCAGCCAGATCCGTCCTGAGATTAAACATCCTTGCCAAATGCGCATTCACATTTCCACCTTCCTCCAGCTTTGCATTCAAAGCTCATGAACCAGCTCTCTTACACGGTGTCCTCGAACTGTGGAGCCCGACTTGTCCTCGTAGATATCCACCAAAGCTTTCGATAGCTCTGGTGCTGTTGTGTGCTCGCGCACCTGATGTAGCAGAAAACGCGATAGGCTATTAAAGATGCAGCGCTTCGCCCGGAGCTGAAGTTGATCGTATGCTTCTTGGCCTTCCGCAGTGGTAAGCTTGGCCTTATCATACCGCTCGTCGATCATGTCACTCATCTTCTGCTCATCATAGACATTTAGTATGACCAGCTTGTAAAACTGCCAATCACGCCCATCCCACTCGATCGGAACTCCTTTACTCGTGTACTTCTGCTTGCCCATCTTCTTCATTAAGCTCACCGCGTCATTTGGGCTCATAACCCTGTTGAAGATTACGGTTTGCTCAATGGAGATGTTAGCACGGGCTGGTGTGTTTGGAACTGACATTTCATATACCTGCGCACTTGGCTATTCCTGGTGCACACTACTACTACTTTTGCAGGTGCTGTGCATGGTCTCATACCTTCTCTTTTCCGCACGCTTCTAGACCAACCGATTTTGTTGTAATTCAAACCCCTTCGCTCCTCACCCACCAAGACCTGGCAACGTCGCACTAACCCTGTCGCTTCGCACCCATTACATTTTTGACAACTGTTGCTACTTGGTACCTGTCGCTGCAATTCAAATTACATCACGCTCTTGCTCAGATAACTGAGCAAGACCTTGTATTGATAACAATACAAAGGTGCGTACGCCCGACGTCACGTACACGTGGCGTGAGGAAGCGGGTCCAGGACAATATAGAACTCGAAAGCTCTGTCTTGAGGGAAAAGTAGAACTGTTATTTAATATAGTAATGTTTCTTACTAAATCATCTTTCGTCTTAATTTAACTATATAAAGCTACTGTCTCCTATGTGGGTCTTCTATCCACCACCCATTGCGCGCGTCCAGAAGCGATTGGTGGTCAAATTGGTTGATGTACACTGTACATCAACCAAGAAGTGGACCCCTCCACATTTTTTACCCTTAGAGGTAATATTCCGACAACATCGTTTTTCTCGAGTGTTGTTGATTGAATATAATCAAAAACAGATAATATTTAAAATTGGTACTTTCGTACCAATTTATGTAACGGGCTCACCCCGTTACACCGATTGCTCTACTTAATCATGATTATGCAATATTCAGTAAGATCCTCGCGACAAGGTTACGACCGATTCTTCCCACAGTGGTTGACACTGCCCAATTTGGTTTTATTCCGGGCCGCAACATTATGTCTGCAATAGACATCTTTACGGCTGCAAAGAAAGCTTCTAACAGTGATTTAACGGGTCACACCCTTGCGTGAACTTAACGCAAGGGTTTTGGTCGCCCCAACAGACGTACACGAGGCGAACGAGGAAGCGTAGGATAAGGGAAAAGTAAAACTGTTGTGTTAATATAATTAAGTCTTTTTGTTACTGTCTCTCTGTTTGACTTAACTTAATTATGGTATTATAACTGAGTGTACGGTGACGTCTCGTCACCACTCATTGCGCGCGTCTTGCGGCGATTGGTGGGTTGATATCATCAAGATATCAACCAATGAGCAGACCCTTTGGTCGCCTCACCAATATCACTACTGGTTGTATTGTTTAAAGAATATTCAACTTAATATTCTTTATTGTCACTTTCCTTAAAGTGACAATTCCATGAAACGGGCTGTTCCGTTACAAGTGATAAGGCGATGAAAAAATCAATTGTGCTGCTTTTGGACTTTGCTAAGGCCTACGACACCCTGCAGCGGCACTTCCTACTTGCAGTGTAGCGGAGCAACACAGCTCCTTAAGTCAGAGGAAGACTTTACGCTCAATGAGCAACTTTGGTTCAAAGAACCCGACTCAGAGAGTCAACAGCTCAGAGAGCTTAAAGGGTGGTTCAGAGAACCCGACTCAGAGAGTCAACAGCTCAGAGAGCTTACGGTCCCCGTTCCAGAGGGACCAAACGATTCAAATGAATCTCAGCACAGAGTGCTCGAGGACAAGCTACCTTTACAGGCGTTGCTTCTGTCCTCCCGATCAAAGACGCCTCGTAAGGCACGTGTCTTATGTTGATCAAAATGGGAACTGAATTTTATTTTTTCATTTAACCTAAAAGAACACCTTAGAACAACGTATTTAACCTGCCCTAAATAACCTCTTAAAATATCTTGCAATCAATTGATGACAGACACCAGTCTTCAACAATTGATACGCTCACTGTGTTCTAATATTACCTTATAGGATACCCCCCTCTCGTGTGTGCACCACACCTATCGTCGGCTACCAGCCGACGTGTAACCCCGTTACACAACGTCTCACGGAGACCACTCAGCTCGAGAAGCACCTTCTCGTGCTCCTCCTTCGGTATACCGACCACCTCCGACGCTGCTCGATGAGCAAGGGAACCGCCAGTTCCATGTGGAACGACTCCTGAAACGACGTCGTCGTCAGGGTCAATACCAGTATCTGGTTAAGTGGCGAGGGTACCCGGAGTCGGAGAACTCGTGGGAATTTGAGGTACCCCTTCGGCAGGATTGCCCATACGCCGTTGATGTTTTTGAACATCGTGGCAGGGGTCATCCTTCGACCGATATCGCTTCCCACCAATAGTGGTGGAAGCAGGTGGGTAGTTTGGTTCCGCTTGACCAACTCCCACTTCCATCGGCACAGCCGGAGCGTAGCGGGTGCGAAATCGAAATTGGCCTCTGGCCTTAAGCTTGGCATAGTCATACCGAAGCTTTCGTTCGAGACGAACATCTGCCACATTGGCACTTGCTCTGAGAGCTAGCATGCTGCTGAGGTGACGTTTCCGGTGCACCCAGCGCACAAAAGTGTTGTCATCCTCCTCCGGAGATTCGCCTGCGAATAAGAGGATGGGTATACCCCTCATCGGTGGCACCGGTGCACCCCGTGCTTGCGTGTCAAGTCGCAACTTGTATTGACTTAGAGTCGTCAAGTGAGGTTGCAGGTACCTCTCACGAAGTGCCTGTCGGCTCGACACTTCATCAGAAGATGTCGGCTCAGCGCCAATGGCCCACGTTGCCAGGGAACGACCTGTCGTTTGGCGTATACGCTCTTCCACATTGAGTGGCGTGAACTGATAGCCACGACGACCCTCAAGGTCTGCCGCAAGCTGCATACGGCGCTGAGCGCTCTCCTCTTGTTGGATTACCAACTCTTGTTGCTCATCGAGCGGGTTGGTGATGATGTGTTCACCTGCATCTGTGGTATGATGCTGCGTTTCTAACGCGGTGGTCTCACTACGCTCGGCAAATGGGTTTGGTGCAGTATGAGGCGATGCCTCTTGCACTGGTGAGTTGGACATTGTCCGTTCTTCACCACGGACATCGGTATCACTACCATAGTCCTCCTCCACATTAATGCCGAGGTAACAAGAGAGAGTCGGGGACTCGTAAGGTGGCGATGCCATGGTGTTTCGTGCTTTGCAAACCGTGAGGTTAGAGCGCACAAACACCGTTCTCTTCGAGGAAAAGTTCGATTGACGTTTTGTGGTAACGTCAGTCTGGTGGGGGAGGGTGTAACGGGGTTACACGTCGGCTGGTAGCCGACGATAGGTGTGGTGCACACACGAGAGGGGGGTATCCTATAAGGTAATATTAGAACACAGTGAGCGTATCAATTGTTGAAGACTGGTGTCTGTCATCAATTGATTGCAAGATATTTTAAGAGGTTATTTAGGGCAGGTTAAATACGTTGTTCTAAGGTGTTCTTTTAGGTTAAATGAAAAAATAAAATTCAGTTCCCATTTTGATCAACATAAGACACGTGCCTTACGAGGCGTCTTTGATCG